GTGCAGGCCTTTGCTGTGGCTTTAGCCAATGTTACACAACGCCTCAAATGAGACCTCCCCCTCTCTAATAACTCTGTTATACCTAGGATTAAAATGCAATCTGTTGAAGGGGCACAGTTGTTTGATTTGAGATTTTTTTTTTTTTTTGACATTAATTTATAGAGAGAAGAATAAAAGAAGCCCTGGTCATAGAGAGAAACAATCACGCTGCACTGCACAATGCTGCCACTAGAGTTGGTGCAATAAGCATTGGCTGAATTCAACAAGGACGCCCTCAGATCTCCTCTGTTTGGCGGTCAGTGGCACCTTCAGATGCATGTAGGGCCAAAGAGCTGAGCTTTGGTAATCGTCATGCAAATAAATGCTGCTTAAGCTAGAAGAAGCTCATAGTTACACGCTAACGAATGAGAGAGAGGAAAGGTCACGTGCAGTTTTTAAAACAAAGCAGCAGTAATACTTGAAAACCACACTCTGGGGATCAAAGAAGTTATTTTTCTCAGAGTGCACAGGTACTACTGGGCACTGAAATCCATTGCTGTACTAAATTTCAGTAAAACAGTTACCACTTTGTAATATTGCTTTGCTTTTAGGACTTTCTTAAATGATTTTACATGGCTGAGAGTAGGAGGTCTTTGTTTCCGTTGCTCTCTGCCATTCCTTTTGTTACTATCTTAGTCTATCTCAGCTGGAATGGAGGCTTAGATATATGTATCATTCTGGAGCACTACTAAGAGTTCACACTTTTTAATGTTGTGAAAGGTGTGTCACTGATAAAACACTTGGGAGTGAAGATAGTTTAGGTGAACTGCAGTCTTTTTCATGTGGTTTCCTGAGACTTTGAAGGAAAAATAAATGTTACTCTGCTACACAGATTAATTTATATGTACATTTTGTTTATCTATTCAGATATGAATTTAACATTATTGTCATTGTTTGTGATATACAATCTTTATATCCTGTCAACATGATTTTCATCTTACCTGCTTTATTTGGGAGACTGTTGGCTGAATTTGAAAAATGCTGTGCTGTCTGGTGGGAGGGTCGTACAGAATAGCTTTGACTGACATATCCTGTCCTCAGTGAAAAATCCACATATGGTGACATGGGTGCAGAAGATGTCACCGGGGCCTGGATTGAATATCTCTGGCGTGAAGTGATGTGTCACCTGCTGTCACTTCTGTGAAGTGAGTGTGTAGTTTGGAGGAGAAAGGGAGCTGTCCCTGCTCATAGAGCCCACACTATAAACACATATAAGCAAGGTACAGGAATATTTTTGTATATTTCACCTATGCCATTTCATACTCTCTCCAGAAGTCGTGTAAATACATATCAGTTATATGTAAATGTTGTAAAGAGACTTTGGTGACTTTGACAGATGTCTGTTTACACCTGTCGCCACTGTGTTTTAGTGTAACTTCAGGTGTGGAAACAAGCTGTTGTACTGTTTAACTCAACAGCTACAACCACAAAAGAACAAGTTAACAAGCTGAAATCATTGTCACTGAATCTTTGAAGTCAGAACTCCAATGAAGGATGAAGCTATTGACATTTTCATTTATTTAGCTGACACTGAAATCTTTTTACCTTCTTTCAGACAGTCAAGCTTGTGATCATGTTGAACTACACTGATCAGGGCCAGCTGACGGAGGGGAGGAGAAAAACTTTTAGGCACATAAATTCTATCTGGGTAGGCTATTTAAAGAAGAAAGTAGCCAAATTTGGTGAAAAGGCAGTTTTTCAACTAGTGATTAGGATTACCTCTAACATTTGTGCCAAACCATGCCTCTGCCCAAAATTTATAGTAAAAAAAATGGTTCTAGAAAAGAGCTTAACACAATTCTTGGTAGTAATAAAAGAAAGCTGTCACTTTGGACCAGCTCTGTTTTGGTCTTGGGGTTATTGAGATTATTTAATTCTTTAGTGCAATCTTCTTATATCACAATGTGATGCATGTCTGTCAAAGAGGATTAAAGGGGGTTGAAAAAGAATTTCAAAAAAAGTCTCTGCTGATCGTGAAAAAGAAATTAAAAGAACATTAGCATGTCATAAAAAAATATCCATCTTTTTGTGTTAGTTGTGCAATATTTCTTTGGGAAAAAATCTTTAGTCAACATTTTTCACCACAGTTTGCTCTGTTCTTTTCAGCATCTCAGTTGCTGGTATGTACATTTTATTTATGAGATTATTTCCTCAAGGAGATAAAGTATCTATACATACTGTATATTGTGGAGTTTTTTCCTAAGCATTTCTTTGTGTTCATGAAAAAATTGTAGCCCAAATTGTGAGATAGGAAGGTGGGGTTATGTCAGGAAGGTAGGGAAAGGGCTTTTTTTTTTTTTTTGTGAAGTTTGCATTGGATGGAAAAGATGTGAATGAGTAAGTGCCCGGTTTAGTGTAGTCGGTAGACTAGTTATGTCGAGTGTAACTGTCAAGTCAAGGTGTGTATGTATTCAACTGTGCAGTCTACCAATCCCATCAGTGTTAAATCTCTTCTCTTTAAACGTGTGATCATGGCTTCTTAAACATACACACACGACACATTGTTCACATAAATTCACAAGTTTAAACCACTGAGTTCATGTTCAGAACTGCCTGTGGACTTAGGTGAAGGATTCTCTTTAAAAGGATTTCATGAGATGAGCTGTTGTAGATATTGTAGGATCTGGCTTTTCTTTCGAAAAGATATGTGCTTTGTCATTGTAGATGTAGACTTAAACGAGAAAAACACTTGAAAAGAATCTGAGTCTGATTTGGTGACTGAACGTTTATAGTGAATGGATAGCAAGGCATGCCATGTAAATTATTTTATAATTGTATATGTCACGCATCTTTTGAATAAAACGTCATTGTTTCAGAAAATGGTTTTGTTTTTGTCTCTATTCATATTATCACGGTTCAGTTCAGTGAAGGAATAATTTACACAGCCACCTTTTGAGAGTTTTCACAAGATGAGTCCATTGTCTCAAAAAGGGAACAGTGTTACAAAAAAAACGCACATGGAACTTGTACTTTAAACAATGGCTGAGTTCAATGTAAGTGTCCCTGTATGCAGTGAGCATTTTAAATACCAAGGCCTTGTAACAAACTAACAAGTTATTAGTTCTGGTAAATTTAGGTCTAGCTGAAAAGTATTGAAATTAAATATTGACATTTTAATAATATATGATACTATAATGTACATAATCAAGTGACTCATATATATTCTGTTTCTTTCCTTTCGCTCTCTCTTCAAAGCCACCTGTTTGCCTTCTCAGTCTAATAGCTCTTTTTGTACACTTCTGTGCGGTCATTTTCACAGGCTTTCTGTGCACTCCCTGCACTTCTATATTTGGAGTGTGTGTCTTTTGGTCACGAAAATCATGTCATGAAAAGTCTGATACCTTGCCAGCCATATATTTCTCTGATACAATGTGGAAACGTCACTCCTGCACTACACACAGGAGCTGCCATACTAAACAGATGAAAAGTCATTCCATCTAAAGATCGATTTGAACAGCTTATTTCCCTCTTATTTATTCAGGAAGATGCCGTTCTGCAATTTAAGGGAGGTTCGTTTGATCAGTTATTAAACATTGTTAATGTAGCCTATACCCCCCCCCTCCCCACCGGATTGTTGATGGACGGCTTGCCTCCCCCCACCCCCTTGCTCCCTATCTCTCTTCCTGCATCTTATCCCATCTCTCCCTCTATCCCTTTCCAAGCCCGGCGCAGTCTAGGCCTGTGAAGGCTGTTTCGTCATGAGCCGGGGATCCAGCCGAAGATTTCTGCCCTTTAATAAAGCAGTTTTTTCTTACCACTGTAACTTTTGCTGCTTTGCTAAAGTGCTCATGATGGATAGGCCGGATCTTTGTAACATAACAATGAGTAAGGTCTTTTTACCTGCTTTTTGTAAAGTGTCTTGAGATAACACTTATGAGTTGACGCTATACAAATAAAAATGGATTGATTGATGATATATATGAGGATACAAGTTTTGCCAGTTATAAACAGCAAATGTCATACATGTCTAAGATTAACTATAACACATGCGCATTGAAAGTGTATAAATATAATTCACTGATGTCATCCTTATTGTCTTATAGGGCTAGATGTATGATAATTTTGAATTAAATATAATATAAATTAAAGATGGGGATATAAAGACACATCAAGACGACAGGGTGTACAATAAAAACACAGAGGTCTAGTTTTTGCACTAATGGACATAAACTAAAAAACAAATGATGCTTTTTAAATCACTGCGGTGTTCATGTGTTCATCTGATACAGCTCTCTCTCTCTCTCTCTCTCTCTGTCTGTCTGTCTCTCTCTCTCTCTGTCTGTCTGTCTGTCTCTCTCTCTTTGTCTCTCTCTCTCTTTGTCTCTCTGTCTCTCTCTCTCTCTGTCTCTCTCTGTCTGTCTATCTCTCTCTCTTTCTCTCTCTTTGTCTGTCTCTCTCTCTCTCTTTCTCTCTCTCTCTCTCTTTGTCTCTCTCTCTCTCTGTCTGTCTGTCTCTCTCTCTCTCTCTTTGTCTCTCTCTCTCTCTCTGTCTGTCTGTCTCTCTCTCTCTCTTTGTCTCTCTCTCTCTCTGTCTGTCTGTCTCTCTCTCTCTCTCTTTGTCTCTCTCTCTTTGTCTCTCTCTCTCTGTCTCTCTCTGTCTCTCTCTGTCCTCTCTCTCTCTCTCTTTGTCTCTCTCTTTGTCTCTCTCTCTCTCTTTGTCTCTCTCTCTCTCTGTCTCTCTCTGTCTCTCTCTCTGTCTCTCTCTCTCTCTCTCTTTGTCTCTCTCTCTGTCTCTCTCTCTTTGTCTCTCTCTCTCTCTTTCTCTATGTCTCTCTCTCTGTCTCTCTGTCTCTGTCTCTCTCTCTCTCTCTCTCTCTGTCTCTCTCTTTGTCTCTCTCTCTCTGTCTCTCTCTCTTTCTCTGTCCGTGGTGCTGAACTCTGATCACGTGACCCACCTGCTGTGTGTTGCCTGGGTGCTTCCGCCCCCTCGTCATTTTTTTTTTTCCACGGCGTTTTTTTTGTTTATTTGAAGCGACACAAACAAAACAGCTTCGTTTGCTCTTTCAATCAAATAGCGTAACAATACGTACAGATTATTGTTCTGTTCCCTGGAGGCCGCGGATCGGTTATACATCGCCATTTTCTGCCGTCAAAGGGGGCTCCATGTAATCATGGACAACGACTACTCGTCCAGCCTGGAAAACCCTCTGTACAGCGAGCTGAAATATTTCTGCAGGAAGATACAGGAGGCCTACAACGAGTTAAAGGAGGATTTGACACCTTACAGAGATGATCGCTTTTACAGGTAGGCCTATGTCTTTTTTTTTTGATCTGATAGCTCAAATGAAACTCATTCTCCTGCTGCATTAAACATCACAGCTATTTTTGGCATTGCATAATGTGAATTATAATTTAACAATGTGCACTTTAAGACACACCAGGTCGCATCATGCGCCGTTGAGTTACGATGGCAGATGCAGACAAGAGGTGTTCAAAACAACGATTCTCCTGGTAATAATGACAATGTGTCGTATTAAAGCGTTTTGTAACCTATTTCAGATGATAGAGCAATATTCAAACCCTGAAACAAAACGAGATGGTTCATCTCAAGGGGTAATTCATCAAATAAACACAATTTCTTACAATACCAAGAGGGGGAAATGCAAATATTTCTTTCTTGTATTATTTAAACAAGGAATATGTCACAATAGTCAACCAGTGCTGTTTGTATCAAAAGGTTATTTAACCTACAAAGGCTTTATGTCTGAGTCCAAATAGTAAAGAAACACCATTTTTCCTCTTAATAATTTGAATATTGTAGTTCAAAATTAAATAAATAAATTAAGACCCCTATAATAATAATAATAATAATAATAATAATTATTATTATTATTATTTAACCAGATAAAGAACCCATTGAGATCAGGGTGACCTGGCCAAGAGGTCAAAAAACAGTTACAATGAAGTGACAGTATAGCTTAACAACATAGTGTTTTCAGTAAAAAAAATAAAATAAATAAATAAGTGTGGGAGCTGTGACACAACAATAAAACAACAATTTTTAAGATTTTTAAAAACACAGGCACTGTTCAATGGTCTCAGGCTGTCTGTCCCTCAGGACAGAACGGAAAGTGGAATAAGTTCCGGGAGTTTTAATTCAGTCTGTAGAGTTTTCCCTGCCAAAGCTGAAAGCTCTTTTTTTCCTAATTCAGTTCTTAACCGAGGAACCATTGCTCTTTAGTGAGGAAAAAAAAAAGAGTCGTTAGAAATTAAAAGTGCATGTTTGTTTGCGGTGCAGTCGAGCTACACATGCGCAAAGTTTCCTCTCGTTAACTCTGGATTTTAAAAAAGCTGCAGACTTCACACTCCTGCACCCGTGTTCTCAATGATACATAAAAATATATTCTGTATATTCGTTTAACTCTGTAGCGTGTAAGACAGGTTTAAACACCAAACAGACACGTACATCTAGAAAAAGGTGCTGGGAAAAGGGGGGGGGAGGAGGAAGCGCGGATGGTCTGCCCTTTCTTTTCTGTCACGTGACCACGGCCATTCGATGACGTAGCGTTCCGGTTGTCGCAGAGTTATGTTGTTGATACACGGATGTGGACTCGCTACGAAAATTTAACCTTTTTTCCCGGCACCTAGACTGCGAACCGCAAGAAATGGAGCTGTAAGTGTATGGTGTCGTCAGAATACAGGATCTGGGCATGTCGCTGATGTTTAAATATGTAGAAAGTTATGCTAAACCAGTGTGTGCGGGGTTTTTTTTTTCCTTTTCTTCCTGCCATCTGTTACTGCTAGCACACCTTAGCACGTACGCTAGCAGTGTAAACATATGAGGCAGTGGCTCTGGTCTTAATGGCATAAACCACAAAACAAATATCACACACGTCGTTACTTTCTGCCTTACACCCTGTGTTTCTGTCAGCTCTGATGAATCTCTCTCTTTCAGATTGGCCCCCATGCGGCTCTATACGCTGTCGAAAAGGCATTTTGTCCTGGTGTTTGTGTTGTTCCTGATCTGCTTTGGCGTCACAGTCTTCATTGGTATTGCAGGTGAAGATGAGACACATTTTTACCCCCAAGCTGGTTGTTGGTTCGACGAGTCATTCTTGTTATTTCCCTGATCGCAACACCACTTCTAGATCTGTCCATGTCATTTTGACATCCAGATGAAGGCTGCTTTTCTGCATCTCTTGTTAACCTTGTGGACATGAGAGTGTTACTGTATTTTCACTGTTACAATTGTGACTCAATTTTCTCAGCTTCAGCACACTTGCACACATTTAACCCCCCCCCCTTTGAATACTCTACCCACCATAGTGCCTGTATATATTTAAGGGCACGCTTATCCACATTTCAGAACAATCAAATCGAGTACTTTAACTGTATTGTGAAAGATAATTTGACAGGATAGCTGCTATTTTCTAAAAACGACACGCAGCCTAAGTAATGACTGAGCTATAAGCAAATATGTTGTTTTTTTTTAGGTAAGGAAGTCTTCTTCTTTTAAAGCACTTACACAAGGCATGTAGGCTGCAAATACATTCTGCTTAGGTACATTTTTGGCACTCAGATAGCAGAGTGTGTTTCTGTGTGAAGTCAATGAAGGTTTACTTTTTCTTGGGGGTGCTAAATAATGAAAATGTTTCCTTATTTCTACAGGGCCTAAAATCCTTTTTGAGCAAGAGCACAATGGTGATCACATGCTTGTCAAAAACGGCTCAATTAAGGTGAGAAGAGCAGAGAGCAGTGCCGTTTGACATGCATGTAACAGATACTTGCAAAATGTAACCTCCTTACTAGCAATTTACTGATAGAAACGTACCTACAATTATTTTTATTTGATTCACTTTGCAGTTCTCACCACTATCACTATACTCTTAATTTGACTTTGCCGTCTTGTGTTTGGAGTCAGTTTTAGGTTTTGTGCTGCCACTAGGCAAAGACGCCTTCTCACTGGAATAAAGTTTGTTGTGTTGTACCATTTTTTTTTTTTTTTTTAATAACTTATGTTGTCTTTCATGATATGTTTTCAGACTGGGCCTTTTAATCTAGTTTCTACTCCCCTCTCTACCTACAACCAGCAGCTGTGGCTCACTTGTCTGATGCAGGCTGAACACAGCAACAGTAAGTCCATAACAACTGTGTGCCATGATAGAAATAAAGCTTTATCTTTTAATATTTAGTAGCCATACGTGTCTGTGGTTAATAACATGTTGTCATTGCTCTCCTTCTCAGTCGGAGACTTCCAGCAGCCTTTGGAGATCTTTGTAGAGCTAAAGGGAGTAATGTCGGATGCCAGCGTGATGCCCATCAACAAGGTGCAACAGAAATCCCGAATGCTACACTGCGGGGCTGTAAGTGTCAATCATCAACACATCTGCCTTTTTCTGTCTCTGACTAAGGATTTACAAAGTCAAGTCTTATTGGTCAGATCTTGCCTTGTCATCAACTGATTGTCAGAGGTTTTTGTTGTTGTTGTTGTTTTTTTGCACTCATTGATCCATATTCTCATTTGATAAAGAGATAAACCACGTAATTAAACAATTTGTCTCCTTGACTTGGAATAACAATTTATTCTATGATAGGACTTGATCCACCCTTTTTCTCCCTCATTACGTCTGCACTATGGTGACCCTAACAATATAATAATAATAATAATAAGATTGATAGGTTTGATTTTCACAATGCTTCGTAACTGAAAGAAGCAGGACTAAACCAGCAAATCACCCTGGGGTAACATGTAGTAAGATCAGGACTGGACCCAGAATTGACCCTTGTGGGACTCCACATAACATGGGAGCAGAGGAGGACACAATATTTTAAATGTTAACAATGAAATGTCTGTCAAACCAGTATGAAATAAACAATTTTAGTGCAATACCAGAGATGCCACCCAATTAACTAAACGGTCAATTAAAATTGCATGATCAACGGTATCAAAGGCAGCCGAAAGGTCTAATAAAACTAAGATGAAGAATTCAAAAATTCGGCGTATGATTTCGATTGAGAGCCCGAGGTTGAAAGGCAGTGCCTGCGCCTGTTCTGATATATCTATACACGACCAATTGCATGGGACCGAATATAGCTGTAATGTAATGATCCTTGTTTTGTAAGCGGGTGTGAGTTTGGCAGTCAAACGAGGCTCTTTTGAAAGAATCAACAAATCTTTGACTATTTGGGGTCGCCCCTACTGAACACTGTATGCTAGATTTGTATTAATCATCTTAAAGCATCAGCAACAGTTTGAACGGAGGTGAGTTAGTTACTGACTTTGATCGTCATAATGAAGTCCATTTTGTTTTTGTTGTTTTGTCTTTGCTTACAGAAATGTGATGAGATCATTGTGCTCCATCTGGGCTACCTAAACTACACCCAGTATAAAGTTTTGGTCAGCTTCAAAGGCCTTGAAAATATTACATATGAGATCAAGGTTAAGTTTGTGGTAAGTGAGTGACAAACATCTGCAGGATTTTTCCATTTGGAGAAATAAATTAACTCTGGGATATTTGTCTTTTTGTTGCTGCACTGCATATTTTAGCTCAATGATCAGTTTCTTTTTTCTTTTTTTTCTCCCTCAGTGGAAAACATATAACCCCACCTTCTCACAGGTGGAGATCTGGTTCCGGTTTGTCTTTGTGGTGTTGACCTTCATGGTGACGGTAAGAGCACAGATTAGATGTTACATTTCAAATGATTTGGCCAATCTGTGTAAAATATTAGAGACCCAGAACTCCCCTTTAATTTAGTGCAGGACTGACATTATTTTCTGCATGTTTTTCCCCAGTGTATGTTTGCACACTCACTGAGGAAGTTTTCTATGAGGGACTGGGGCATTGAGCAGAAGTGGATGTCCATCCTGCTCCCTTTGTTGCTTCTCTACAATGGTGAGTTTACTCAGAATGTCACATTTTTAAAATCCAGAGGCAACTGCAATTACTGCATGTCTTGCCAATTTAATACTTATCTGCTGATTTGGATGTCAGGTGTGTTGCTTATTGAGTTTCCTTGTTTAGTTTTGTTTGCTTTTATTTATTTATTTTTGCAGATCCTTTTTTTCCGCTGTCATTCCTGGTGAACAGTTGGTTTCCAGGGACGTTGGATGCTTTCTTCCAGGCTCTCTTCCTGTGTGCCCTGCTGCTCTTCTGGCTCTGTGTCTATCACGGCATCAGAGTTCAGGTGGGTCCAGTATCCAACCTTTGTGTTTATGTTTATATAGTGCAGGACAATAATGCACATAACGCATGCAACACATGATGACATGACGATAAATCTCACAAGATATAGAGAAAAAGGGAAAATATACGCTACAAATAAAAATCCTACAGGCAACATTCATTTAGAACAATCTCATAAGTAATTAAAATGACGAGATAAAAGCAAACTAGTTGCATTAACATAACTGAATTATAAAGAGGAAATTAGATATTTACAGGGTTATGTTGTTTTAAAGATTATTTCTCCTTTTAAAAAAAATGTCATTATGAATTTTTTTTTCATGTTTTCTGTTCTTTCCACAGGGTGAGAGGAAATGTCTGACTTTCTACCTGCCTAAGCTGATCATCGTAGGTCTCCTGTGGCTCTCAGCGGTTACACTGGGCATATGGCAAACGTAAGACCCACAAAAAACAGCCTCATTTAAACTCTGAATTACTACAGGACTGGATTTATCAACTGTCTGTGACTGAATTTGCAGGGTTAATGAACTACAAGACCCTACCTATCTGTATAAAGTGGACATAATTAACTTTCAGGTAAGAGTTTAACATCAATTTTAGCTAGGACTGGATGAACAATGTCTTCATTTCCTTGGCAGTTCAATAAAATCTCATGTTTTTCCCAACAGGGCATGAAGGTCTTCTTCCTGATTGTCATCATCTTCTACATCCTCTACCTGATCTTCCTGATTGTCAGAGCTTGTTCAGAACTCAAAAACATGCCTTACTCAGGTACCACAGCTCACTGCACATGTCTGTATTTGATTCAAGTCAAATGTATTTTGCAGTAAGAAGATTATGCGTTGTTTTTTTTCTTTCCTTTAGATCTGCGGCTCAGGTTTTTGACAGCACTGACATTTGTGGTTCTTGTTATAAGGTGTGTTTTGAGTTTTACTAAAATCTAAAATGACACTGATAGTTTTGCTTGAAGTTTAATTTGATCGTTTTGTACTTTTTGCTCCTCCAGCATGGTTATTCTCTACCTGAGGTTTGGTGCCAAGGCCCTCCAAGATAATTTTGTTCCTGAACTGTCTACTCATTACCAAAACTATATCCTTTTAAACCATGTTTCATATTGACTATGATTAAGCATGTGAGAGAGGTCATGTTGGAATGGTCTTTTAATAGTGACAAATGATTCCTTAACTCCAGACTTACCAGCTGAATTTCTGTCATTCTACGGCCTACTAAACTTTTACTTGTACACATTAGCATTTGTGTATTCCCCCTCCAAAAATGCTATTTATGGTAGGTAACACAGCACAGTTGCAATGCATTTGATAAAGAATGCATTTATTAAACTAACTATATTTATTTAATTTCCCAGACTCCCAGCTGAAGGATAATCCAGCTTTCTCCATGCTAAATGACTCAGATGATGAAGTAATTTACGGGTAGGAGTTTGTTCACTTTAACTGTTTCAGTCAATTACTGCTCTGTACAGTTTTTGGTCAGATATTTTCAGTGGGAATTGAAATAAACCTTACATGTTTTTCTTTGTATTTGTATAGGAGTGATTATGAGGACATGCCTTTACAAAACGGACGTGCAATCAAAGCAACCGCCAAGTACCAGGATGAGAGTGACAGCGACTGATAGAATCTCCAACCTGTTTGGCCATCTCTTTTGTGTCCCTGCATTATTACACAACACTTAAAAACTACTGTATTGTGTGTATGTGTAAATAAGGAGTATTTACATTGTTAAAGCGTAAGTGTACATAAATATATTTTTAAAAAAGGAGAAGCTCCATGTCAACTGAATGTACTGTACTTTTACAAAAAGTTAAGGCAGGTAGCCTCTCGTTTTTTCTTCATTGTTTTTGTTTGGACTTTGTAACAAAAGGGAAACAAACACTGATGTTGATTTTTTTTTTTTTTTACCAGATTGTTAACTTTTTTTCTTTATAACTAACTAAAATCATTTCTGTAAAGTCGATAGGAAAAGTGCTAATATTAATTGGGTTTTTTGTGAAATCAATGTTATTTTTAATGCTTTGTGTTGAACCACTGTTGTCCCTCTATTCTTGCACTGGGTTGTTCTGCCATGTCTTTCTGCTCTCTGATTGTCTGTGATGAATGAAACTGTTTGTATCTTGCCAAAGCCTCTTGACATTATGCTTGAGGTAGAAAGTAAGGAAATACTCTGCTGCACTGCACTTTTAATGGTGCATTGTGAATCCTCATCTCTGACATGAGTGATGAACAGGAAATCCAAGTGCCAAAGCATTACTGGCTAAGACATGTTAAGTTTTGAAACATTCATGATAATACAGAGAACCATTATTTGAGTTCTTGCCACTGATCTATTAACAATCCTCTTCTTTCTGAAGCAGCTTTGTAATTGCACTTGCTTAATAATTGTAATTTTGCCAAAAAAAGTGATAACATTTGGTACACTATTATATGACTGCCAGGATGGATGAAGACGTGTGTGAATTTTACACAGCTTTATGTAAATAGACTCAATCTTGTGAAACATTTCTTATTCCAGCATGTTTAGTTGTATCATTTGCAAAACATGTTTTGCCTTATGTAAGATATATAACTTTATGTAATCATGTTTTTCAGCTGTATTACTTAATAATGCCAACAATGTGAGACTTGCTGCCCTCAAAGCCAAAACAAATGTTCTTCTATTATTTACAGATATCTCAACATGTACACTTATCAAGATGGTGCCTTGTCTTTACCACTTTTCTTTATTTGGAATAAGCAGCAGTCTCCAGTGTGTAAATGCTTTGGCATAAATGTACATTTTCAAGTGAGTCTGTGTGAATGTAAGTGATGATCACTGGAGGTGGTTAAATGAGATTGTTGTTGGTCGGGATGTGTTAAAAGTTTGCAATTACCATTTGCTTCATGACATCAAAGCTGTACATTGTAGCTTAATAAAGCAAAGTTTACACAGTATTGTTATGTTTTAATACATTTTGCTTTATATAAAATACAAACAAATGAAATGCAACTTAACATAACACACGCTAGTCCTCAAAAAAAAAACACAAAATCCTACATAATTCAAACTAAAGTACATTGTAGGTGGTTCAAATGGCCAGCCCAAAAACACTGACGATGCAATACATGGATTTATTCTCCCATCTCACAGCACAACTTCCTGTGGGGTATTAAATATAATTAGTGAAAGTATTCATTTTATATTTTGATCTGACAAAATGCTACTTGTGTCTGAAAGATGTTTTATAAAAAACTGGTAGTGTCCAACCAAAGATAAAACTAACTATCAAATGTATCTTACTGCTATGGGCATTTCCTCTGTTAATCAACATACAAGACTTTTACCCTTTTTTTGTGTGGAGTTTTCTAAAGAAAAAACTCAGAACACCCTTAGATCAAACAACGGCTACATACATAGGTTACAAATGGAAAAACAGAGGGTTAATTTACCATCAGTAGAGTTGTCCCAGAAGCATGTACTTGCTGTTTGCAGACCTGCTCCATTTTTCTGCATGATGATACAGGTTACTGTGGGAATTATTCATTATTAATACAAACTACAGAGTCAAAGAGTCAAACAAATATTACTGAGCCAGGGCGGGACATGCTGTACCTATATATTTGAATGGTTTCCCCAGCTTGCTGAGGTGACTGAGGCACTGCTCCACAACACTGGTGGTCCACTGGTTCACTCTACTGTGCTGATAGGCGTTTCCTCCTATGGCTGATTCTACTGACTACACAGAGAATATACAGAATATAAACTATGTTCAATTCAAAACAAGGAGTCATCTTACTTTTCTAAACTAGTACTACTACTCAAATAAGTTCATCATGTTTTTAAGAAAATAGTTTTGCCGTGTGTGTGTATGTGATATGGGAGTCCATAGCAACCGTGGAAGTGTCCCTAGCAACCGAAAGATCGCTTAAAACAAAGCTTCAAACTAGCTCCCCCCAAAAAATCTACATTTTCCAGACAAACACGACGGCCGTCAAGACTGTCTTTTTGCTCACCTCTTTAATAATTTTGCTCACTTCTTCAACGACGAATGCTGTCTGTCGAAAAGAAAACAATCCTTTCAGTTTGAGCGAGCAAGCCAACAAAGCTAAGCACTTACCTACACTCTAACCAAAACGATTTAAATCTTGAAAATACTTTATTAATAGAGTGTAAGTAGTAATATCTGCCTGTTGTTCATAGACGAAAGAAAAACTGCAATTCATTTTCAGAAACAAAACATACCTCCTCTTCTGTCTGACCCTCGTCCATGGCTAACGCTTTCGACTTGAGTTGAATTGGACTTCCGGTTGTGGTGTTTCAGAATAAGGTTTCCTACATTTCTACAGGACTCGATATCTGACCAAAAAATGTTTTTTTGTCAGACAACGAAATAAAAAAGACACGACACACTCAAAGTTTCTTCGCCCCAAGTCAGTTTACGTGTGGTGAGCAACTGTTCACCAAATACAACAAGATAAAACTTGTAAAACCACTATTTGTAATAAATAAGCTAAAATACACAGTTACTTTTTGTAAAAATTAACTGTGTAAAATTATATTTAGTTGGACTGTAAATGCTTAGACTGCTCAAATGTCCTTAATTAAACCCAGTGTATTCCATACATTAAAATAGCTAATTTTGCCATTTAAAGTTATTAATTGGCTTTTTTATGTCGAAGAATAAAAATCCTGAAATTCGCCTTGAAATGTTCACATTATCTTGATAACTGATGATACTTGACTAAAGTTAACGTGAATTGCTAGTAAAATAACCGTCAAACTAAAACCCTGCAGGTTTTTTTTTTTTTTAACAAAATTACCAACACCCTGATACCGCCCCTCCCCCACGCCTGCTCAGGTGTAGAACATGTTATTTACCTGTAAGGGAATAATTTGCAAGTTTTCGCCAGAAAAGGCGGTCAGGCCCGGAGGACAATTTCAGGTAATCTTAAACTTTCATAAATCACTTTTAACGAGTTTGGTCTTTAATTATTGGTCTAAATCGTTTGGCTTGAAGTCTAATTTATCTGGCGACTTTCTGTCGTTTACTTGTTGTCAACACTTTTGCTGCATGGAGGGTTTGTAATACTTTGCTAGTTTACTGCAAAGCTAAAATGTGCACTACAAGTTGTAGTAGAAAAAGAGTTGAAACGTCATTTTGCGAGATATATATGTCGCTGCTAAATTAGCTCTGCTTTAGTGTTAGTATCATATGTTACGAGCTTACCAAATCATTAAACGTAATAGAAATGCCCACCTGTAATAACAGTTCAAATGTCACGTAACAGCTGAAGTTGACGTTAATTTGAAAGAAAGAAAAAACTTCAATTTGTATGTATGATTTTTTTTTATCCCAATTTCTATAACCCGACTCAAGTTATATCACTCTATATCAACTTATATATTTATAGTCTTTTTTTTTTTTTTTAATCTTTGCTGCATCCGATTTGAAATTCGAGTTCATCAAAATTACACATTACGTGTGCACTCTGGCAATATTTCAGTAATAAGATTCAACAGAAAATTTAAAACCCTGCGTGAAACCATTTACTACTCAAACCTGACTTCTACCCTTATTTTGAAAAGGAAATTCCGGAAGCAGAAATAGTGCTGTTGCAGGGGTCCGATTTAACTTTTACCGGCAGTTATAGTTCAATAAGATGCATCGACTCTTTGTCGTCGATACTTTAATTTGTTTATTAATTCTATTTATACAGATACTTATTTGTGTTTGTACATGTATTCACATGCCTTTATGGTAAAAAAGAGTGTATGAATTGACTGTACAGTTTCCGTCACAAGAGGGAGCCAGAGATTAATTTATGTTTGTTCTTAACTTGTTGAGTTAAGTAACTTAATAATCATTCTTGTTGTCATTCACAACCGAGATCCAGTAGATAAAGCCATACAGACCTATATTATACGCTTAAACCGAATAAACAAACATTAATCAATTATTCAAGTTGCAATTGCATGTTTTCGTTACACGAGGTTGTTGATCGCTTATTGGTCAATAGCTTACCACGTGACCAGAAATAACATCGAGACGAGTTCACCAATATAACGTTTTGTAAATAAAATGTGCGATCCGATGATCCGATCGGTCGTTAAACACCAGACTACACGTTTACATGTTGTTGCCTTTCTTTTGAAGGTGATAAAATATGCAACCGTGAGTGAAAGGTACAGCGCGGGGAATGACTCTCTGACTTTGCCGAATTCGCGGCATCGCTTCTCGGCCTTTTGGCTAAGATCAAGTGTAGTATCTGTTCTTATCAGTTTAATATCTGATACGTCCCCTACCCGGGGACCATATATTAAATTGATTTTTGGAACTGGGAGATGGAATAGGGGCTTGCTCCGTCCACTCCACGCATCGACCTGGTATTGCAGTACCTCCAGGAACGGTGCACCCCCTCTACCTGTTGAAAATCAAAACTAATCTTTTATCCTCCATTAGTGATTCTGTGACAAATCTATTTAATAGTCACTTGAAGAAGCAACAAATGGCACCATGTGTGCATGTCTCTGTTTTAAGAACGATTAAAAATACTTATTCAAAGATGTTTCTGATTTATGGAAACATGACTTTTACTGTCACAGAAAACATTGTTTCCTCTGTTGTTATTTAAAATCCAGATAAAGGCTGTATATGTGGTTTCACTATATCATTTTTCTATTCCTTTTTTTCAGTGTTATTTGCTGTGAGAAAAATATAGATATACCATTTGTTAGCAGTTAATGCTAATGGTGAAGTATCAGTTAATCCGACTTTGATTTGGTATTTACTCTTTTTTTTCCACGTGAAGCTTATTAAAAATGGTGTTTTATTACCCGGGGACCATAAATTAAATTGATTTTTGGAACTAGGAGATGGAATAGGGGCTTGCTCTGTCCGCTCCACGCATCGACCTGGTATTGCAGTACCTCCAGGAACGGTGCACCCCCCCTCTTTTGTGAAAAGTAAAGTGGTCATATCAGAACTGTGTGTGTGTGTGTGTGTGTGTGTGTGTGTGTGTGTGTGTGTGTGTGTGTGTGTGTGTGTGTGTGTGTGTGTGTGTGTGTGTGTGTGTGTGTGTGTGTGTGTGTGTGTGTGTGTGTGTGTGTGTGTGTGTGTGTGTGTGTGTGTGTGTGTGTGTGTGTGTGTGTGTGTGTGTGTGTGTGTGTGTGTGTGTGTGTGTGTGTGTGTGTGTGTGTGTGTATATTTATTGTTTAACCAGAAAAACACTTGTTGATATTAAATAGCTTTTTCCAAAAGTCCTGGCCAAGACAGTCGGTGGCACCATTAAAAAAGTTTCTGACAAACAATGAGCAGCCACACAAACTAAAGGCAGGAAAGGCGATACAGGCTTTTTTTCACACCAAATTAGCTTTATGATTAATTTAATCAATGTTTTCTTCTTCTTAAAGAAAGTATGTATACATGACTTACGAAAGAAAGTTTTGCTTTTATTTTATTGATACAATTCAACAAAAGTAAACTTCATTTCCCTTCAGGAATGAAGAATGTGAACAACACCAACCCAAGGGAAGCAGTGGTTCAAGAGAAAAGGTTGATTAAGACTTTTGAAAATCTTGATTTTCCAGAACCCAATTTTTTCGATAAAATTGATTCATCCCCGGGGCCTAAATGTCTGAATTAATACATATACACCAAACTACTGAAAAACAAGATAAACATGTGCTGCAAGTCTTCCTATGACATTCAGAAAGAGAGTCAGAAGATATATGATCAATACAGCACCTCTTCTTGAAGAACATGGACACCATGGACACAATTAGTGATACAGAAGAAAACACAAGAAATGTTTGAATAGTAAGCCCAAAGCTTTTCTTTTAAATAACAGCAGAAAATAAAGAACAGGGGGGGGAAGCTTTGCATCTTCTTTTTCAAAAACGATGTGCAAGAGGGAAATAAACAAAAATCCTGGACTTAAAGGGAATACTGAATTTTATTGAGATATCTAGGCGCGTCTTTTAGGTCGCAAGCTTTTCCAAGGAACAATATCGAATCAAAGAAGAAAACAAGTTCAGAGAATGTTTAAGCAAATAAAACGAGCTGGAAATAAAACATTTAGGATAAAGGAGCTCCATGCTGCTGCTAGGAGAAATAGTATTAGGCAAAGATGAACTCAACTCTGTTAGTCGTTTAGGGATGTGGTAGGAAATCAGTTACAAGGAGTATCTTGTCAGATGATGTGGGGCAAAATGATTAGAAGCACATGTCAGGGAGTGGTACTCCTATTTTAAAATTACACACCGTTTACATTCATGAACAGGCTTCTGACACGACTGTGCATGGACGTCAAAATCTTGAGACATTACTTATCGCTTATTAACAGCCATGTTCATTGTATGTGTAAGTTAAAGTTAAAGTTAATCATATACCTTCTTATCTACTGCACAAAATGATCAATGCAGCAAATATGTAGCAATTGCTTGATGTAGTCTGTAGTTAAAACCCTGCAAACCATATTCATACAAGACCCTCACTACAGCAGTTCAAAAATAGTTTCTTTTATTGAGGTGAGTGTTACTTCTGCGTGATGGTAAATGAGTTTTGGTCCATTAACTCGCCAACTCTCTCCTGCAGGGTCTGAACCACCTCTGCCAGGATAAAGACGTGTGTGTCATCAAGGTCCTTCAGGATGAACTTCTTCCCCAGGGCCATTTTTTCATCCAGGTAGAGGAGGAACTGTTTCATGGCAGGATCACTGGTGAGCAGAGGACACAAGAAGTTGTCACCTTGCATGCAATGTTTAGATGATTGTTACCCAAATATGCCTGATGGAAATAGAGTGATTTGTAGGTAGACGTGAGTAAAATGATCCTCACCATTCAACAAGAACTCCTTTGTGTACGTTGACCATTTTGGCAGGTTCAGAGAAATCGGCGTTTCAAGTCTTTGTTCAAACCTGCAGCAAATAGGCGTAGTGTGACTTTACTGTAAACAGAAGAAGTAAAACAAACACCCCGCTCATATAAATGTCGTCCATTTCGATGCAGAATTTGATGTTGTTGTTGTGAAGTTAGCAAAGAAACACAGTTGAGTATGAGCATGTTTAGCTTGCTGTCGCCAACTTAAATTCAGAGACAGCATACATAACAACAACAACAACAACAACAGGGGAATTCAAAGTAGCAAGACTTCTGAAAGAGTAAAAACACAAGACGGCATTGAAAGAAGTAGTTTGGTTAGAATTTCACCAACCTGATGCCTCTGGTTTCTTCCTTATACGCTAACTGTGATAGCAACATAGAATTAGCGCTGAGGGGGTTGTCGTGCGGTGTGCGCATGCGCAAAGGGTCAAAAGTATTCTTCCCAAGATTTGCGCATGCTCATTAACCTACTTTACTTTAACCTGTTTGTATCAGAAACCATGCAGGAGGAAACCATGTGTTTAAGACTTAACTGCTCAGTATAATACACAATAAATAGTCTCATGTATTAAAGTATAAATTACTCATTTGGGCTCTGAAAAAAAAAATAAACTGCAGTGTGTAGACAATTCATATTAAACCTTTAAGTCTTTTTTTTTAATTATTATTAAATGTTAGCTTTGCTATTGGCAATTTGGACGACAAATACATAAGAGTCCAACTGCTGGATTAGGATCAAAAATATAAATAAAGCAACCTGAGTCCAGAACACATATTTTTACACGTCCATTCGAGGTAAGGTTTGGAAAGGAATATGTTGTGAGTGACATAATGACTTTCATACTGTACATGTAATAAAATACATAAATACATATACATTTAAAAAAAAAAAAATCATTGTTCTCTTCAAAAACACTGCGGAACATGAGCGGCAATGACATGCCATAGATGTTAGTACATATAGTATTAGCATTATCAACCACATGTGAAGCTCGCACGACCACGATGACGCCGATCTTCACAATTTACTGTAAATCATTTTTAAAACTACTGACTTGTGAAGAACAAACTAAGAACTCTGGTCTCTTTCATCACAAGTGACAAATCTTCACAGAAATCAATGTGTAAAACAAATTTAATTTAATTCCCCTAATTTTACTGTTACTTTTGGGGTGGCTGAGTCGTTGCCTCTCAACCGGAAGGTCGAGGGTTCGATCCCCAGCTGAGCGACATGTCCGATGTGTCCTTGGGCAAGACACATAACCCTGAATTGCTCCCGCTGCTTCAGTTGGTGGTGTATGAATGGGATTAGTTACTTCTGATGGATGATTCTACATAGCGATCACTACCATCAGTGTGTGAATGTGTAGATGTGACATGCAGTGTAAAAGCGCTTTGAGTAGTCAGAAGACTAGAAAAGCGCTATATAAGCTCAAGTCCATTTACTTCTATCACATCAGCGGTTGTTTTTGTAAATGTGTAACACAGAATTATTTTTCTAATCTGTTTGGTGTTAGGAAAGTGACTGCTATCCACCCTTTCAAGTATACAGTAGGTCATATTAGTGCGATGACGTTCAAGTATTCAATCAGTGGCTGATGTAGCTCTGCAGTGCTTCCTGGATAAACTGGAGACTTCGCTTGTACAGAAAGGAGTCCTTCTTCTCTGGTTTACAGATGTTGAGATGATCTACGTCAACCTTGATGAGCTCCCCGATGCCAAGACCTGAAACAAAACCGCAGCAGGCTCAATGTTACGAGCTGAAGATGTGACTTAACAGTCTATTTGCAGATTCATATATAAGCTATAAATGACAGATTTCTTATTTTCCATGTTCCACATTATGACATACTTGCTGACTGTGAAGGTACCACCAGTATCTTGATCATGGGACCAATGTTTGTCGGCAGCGTCTCTGCGAAGCTCAGCACCTTGATTTCCTTTTCTCTGGCCATGTTCAGGAAGTTCTCGTTTAGGTCACGCAGTGCTGGCGAATCTTAATACATGTTATAATGGATAATTACTCAGTAGATATAGAACTATTTATTTGAAAAGAAACAAGTGTTAGAGCTCAGAGTTGATTTCATTTGCTTACCTTTACAAAGTTCTCTAACTTCTACAGAGGGGAAGAGGAGATATCTGACATTGACTGAGTATTCTGCCATGAAGGTGCCATGGTGAGGAACACTATAGAACAAAATGCCCTTTGTGTTCTTTAACAGTCCATGCATATCAGGGTCATCTACAGCATCCAGGAGCATTTTCTTCACAAGCAACCCTGATGGAGAAATCAAACACAAGGGGATACAGACACACAAAGTGAAAATGATAATCAGCCATATAAAATGTCATGCTGACACAGGAAAGTGTTAGCTATTTGTTTTTCATGTCGCATTCAAGGGATTCAAATCTGGAGTACTTCAGGAAGGAAAGCTCGGACAAAATACCTCCCATACTGTGGGCCACCCAGACCACAGGCCTCTCTCCTACTCCTGCAAGCTTTAACTTCTTTAGGAGCTCTCGACTTCTGTAGGCCAACGACTTCCTGAAGAGACCAAAGCAAGGAACGAATCAGCAGTGAGATGGAGAGTGTTTCAATTGTAAATAAAACAATAAAACATTTAGTTTAAATGAGAATGGAATATCGCTTACATTTCAGGGTTGATTGTGTTGTATTAAATGAGCATAACATCACAATGATATATAACTAGGTGATACAAGTTTTTTTTGTTTGTTTTTTTTAAATGAATGCTGTCTCTCAGTTTTCTTTACAATTTAACAACTGTCACCAGAATTGGAGAGCCCGGCAATATTCTACACTCTACATGTCTGCAAAAAAAAAAAAGAAAAAAGAGCCTGAAATTGAGAAACTACAGATTCCTCACCTCTGATTCTCAACAGGACACTTGGCCATCCAATCACTGAGGTGACTGTCATACTCCACTGATAGAATTCTGAGATTTGGACAATCAGCAGCCAACCATGACTGTAAGTAAAAAAGGGGACACATTATAATAATAATTATTATAATTTATCTAAAGATTAAGCAAGATTTATTGTAAACCTCATAGTTCATTTTGCAAACCAAACACTAATGGTTCTCTTATAAAGCCAATAAGACGAAATCTAAGCATTTCATTTGTTTTTGTAGAAGGAAAATCATTCACAGAAATGTAATAGTGGTCCAATGGTTATTAAAGGAATAAATTTGATTTTGGACCTTTGGCCAGCACTCTGTGTAATTATCCTCTCCTTCTGCATCCTTCTCTTCCTCTGAAGTATCGCGGTCCTTCTGCCTCCACGTCTTAAAAGCTGCTCCGAGGATCCCATGGATGAAGAGCACGTCTGCTTTGATTGGCTGGCTGGAAATTAACCCATTTTTTTTATTTATTATTTAAATGTTAGTTTACATATAAAAAGAAACTATGACAAAGATTAATTAAATATAGTATCAATTTAGACATCATTGTTTTCCTACTTGTCACGTGTTTGTGGGTGGAGGATATAGACACCATCCTGGTATTTCTCCTTAACTGCCTCCCTATCCAGGTTGGCCAGAGCACGCGCTGCATGAGACGCCTGCATGACATGAGGAGACTGCGTCATCTCAGCCAGGACTGAAATCCAGCCTGAAGGTGTTGTTAAGGTAAGGAAAAAAGAAACAAACACGTTTGAATCAGTTATAATCTGTTTTTTTTTTTTTTGTCAAGCTTGGTTGTTTTTAAAATGTGCTTGATAAATAAAGTTAACTTGACTTAACTACAGTTAATACACTTTAGACAAACACAATACTAACAAGTGTGAATGAGAAATGTAGGTTGATTAAAAACTGTTGGGACAATAATAACAAAGACACTTGACATTTGATTGATAAGGCCTTTTTTATTGGTGATAAAGTATTCTGAAGATTTTAAAAGGCTAAGTTGCAGACTTACCAGACTGAGCTATGGCCTGGTGGATGCTCTCATTGAGGGCCAAATTTCCTATTACACGAACAATGTTCCTCTGAATCTTAAGGGAGTCTCTACGAAGCTGATAAACCCTCTGGAGCAGCTGCAGGCCCCCGTTTGAAACTATGTGTTCACAGTGGCTCTGGACCTGCAGACAAGTTGTGTTTTGGTAAGTCAACGGAATCACTTACAAAAACTAACAGCTCAGCTTAGTCAGATTAACTGTCCGTAACGGGTTGAAGGTTATTTCAACTGTAGGAAATCCCAAAACAGAGTTTAATTTGCAGACTTGCAAGTCCTTTGCCAACATTACCTTTGAGTGCTGTACCAGTGCTTGTAGACAGAAGGACTCCACCTTTTCAGAGGGAACAGAGGTGAGGCTCTGGGCGTAAGGCAGCCCATTACCGCCGAAACACCACAATCCACCCTACAACACAGGTTGAGAAACTTATGTATGCTTGAGGAACATAAATATCAGTTATAAATTTGAACAAAGAAAGAGCTGTTCTGCAGTTGTGTTTTGAGAAGTCACTGTGTGTAGAAATGCATGTCTACATTTCTTTCTTGAGCTCAATTACCCGTTGTGCTGCCAAGGACTGGGTACTCTCTCTGAGGGCCAGCGAGGTGAAGTACTGAACACATTTGTCTACCTCAGACTGAGGCAGAGATCCCAGAAGCTGCCTAAGTCCATCCTCTGCTGACAAACCCTGTGAAGAAGTTACCTCTTTGTTAATATCATATATACCTGTGTGATGTAAAGATAAGGCAAAGGATCATGAAACAGTAATTGCTAGTGTCCCATGTAGATTTACAAGTATACATGCAACAGCTTATCCCTTCAAACAATGTCAGATATAAATTACTTACGAAGTAAAAGAGATGTAGAGGTATCTATGTAATAAAATATTCTACTTGCATCCTCAGTTCCAGGCAGGGCAGGTGAGCGCAAGAAGAATCGAAGGTCCACTTTAGGAGTCCGAGCCAGACCCACTGCTGTTCTCTGGTCTATAACCTGGGCTGCTGTCTGGTACTGGTAGTCTGTATTTTTAGCAACAGTTGTTAAATAATTCCAACTAAAAAACTAAGATGTATATACTTAAAACCTGAATTGATATGCATATATGTTTTTAGTTTACCATGCCAGTGGTGATTGTCTGCAAGCTCCTGGACAGCTTGGAGTCTGATGGCTTTGTTGGCTGACTGTGTCTTCTTCAGTAGGACCCATAAAGCCACCTCATGTGGGTCTGCATCCACGTGAGTAAAGTGCTCTACAACAAACAAACAAGAAACTAAACTGACCGATTGGGCCTCGACAATAACACATCGGATAATGGGTGCTGCAAATATTCATTTAGGCACTATAGTACACTATACTAGCCTTTACTACGACGTGTCTACAGCATCACTAGCATGTACTATAGCTAGTACTGTAGGTTACAAACCTTGTGGTTTAAAACCATGTGGCATCAATGTGGCAGCTATTAGTCAAAAATCAGTTTGTTAGATGTGTTACTGGAATGTAATGTCATGAAAAAAATCTGTCACATATTTCTGTAATCTTAAAAAGGTATATTTACAGATGAGTTACTAACAAAAAGACACGGTGGACAAAATAATTTTAAAAAAAAGCACTTACATATGAGTCATTGAACAATAGATGCACTTATACACCAACTATGTGACGTTCAAAACAGGATGTGTTGTTGAAAGGCAGGTGTTTCCTTGTCACACACTCCACATAAAAACGCTAGCCCAACTTTATTTCTCTGAAAAGAAATACTTTTCTTCTATAAGCAACAAATTCTGCCTTATTAACGCAGAAACACAAAGGGCTGTACCACAGTTTTCCTCTGTGCGATGTTAGTGTGGGTTTCAGTTGGACAAGGAGAGTTCAGGGATGATTTTAGTTTTCTTACCGTCTAGGGATTGCAGAAAGAGCCTTGATGACATTTCTAGAAACCGCCTTGCAGCTTTATGAAGTTCTCTCCTAGCTTTATTTGTGAGCCCTGGAAATAACACACAGTATTAAAACTAGAATACACTAGCTAATCGACTTTAAATAAACTAAAAATATAATCAACCCATACCGACATAAAAGGTGACATTTTGTAAATGGTATGGTACCAGTATAAATTCAGAGGTGAGCCTTGAACAGTGGAAGTGAGATCGGTCAACATGCGGACCATAATGCAGGCAGAAAAGATAGTCAAGAGGGGAAGGAAGGAAGGGAAGGAAGAGAACACAGCAGATGTCACTGGGCACCTGGACATGGCTAACTCGGTGCTTGTGTTCAAACAAGAAATAAATAACGCCACTCAGCATAATTCCAGATGTTTTCCAGCTGGTTTTGGAGTTAGGCCAATGTAAAAAAAAACATCTAAAACTATATAGAAATGTAAAACGTTTTTTTTTTCTCCTTTCAGTTTTGTTAGATGTTTTCAAAGAGACACATGATCATTTCCCACTTCTGTCTAGAAGTTCTGGGCAACTGGCGGCCCGGGGGCCACATGCGGCCCCCCATCAACCCTCAAGGTGGCCCTCAGGTCAATTTTTACACATCAATTAATCGGGAACATGAAGAAAACATGACTAAACCTGCCATGAAATCATGAAAGCCAGAAGTATGTCCATAATAATATTTGATCACTGGCATATGTTGAGTTAAATTGGAGACAAAATTGACTGTAATCGTTTTTTTTGTATCCTACAATTTGGCCCCTCTGGCAGTGAGAATTAAATGAATGTGGCCCCTTGCTGTGACCAAAGTTGCCCGTCCCTGCCTGGTCTAGATGAATGACATGAAGTACCTGCAGTAAGGTTATCCTTTTCATCTGAAGGCGTGGCTCTCAGATAAATGTAAGACTTGTACTTTTCTTGAAGAATAGCACTGGTGTCAATGGTCACAGCCTTGTCCAAGGCCACCATTTCATAGGTGATAAACAGACAGCCACTGTAAAAAAAAAAAAAAAAAAAAGGTAATAAATAAGCTGTAGCACATAGAGTGATATATATAAATTTTTTACACAAATCTGCAGCTGCCACATGTGACCATTGAAAACATGGATTATAAAGGCATGCATGTAAAAGTTTAATTTACCCCAAGACAATGGCACCAGTTACTTTAGCCACCTTCCCTGAAATGCAGCAACAAACAAATGTGTTTTTAGATAATAGAGATTGAAAAGAAAAAGTAAAACAGGCTGAATCTTTTGAGTTTGCTGTCACAAAGTGTAGTGCACATATAACTTTACTGAAATCTTTCCACTGAAGCACTTTCTTCACTCCGGACGGCCCAGCTGTGCTCAGTCTCCGACAGTGGATCAGACGAAGAGCTGCCACAGACATCCTCCAGCTGCATGTAACATAACACAAGTAAGTTCAGTTACACAAGACTTTCTGCCTTTTTGTCACAACTTCGGTGTAGAAGACACTAAAACTCTGCGCATCATTAAGTTTGCAAGTGTGGCCAATGTCACTTTTCCATACGCTTATTTTAAGTGAAATATAACGTCAACTAAAAGTGTTTCACGACCAATTAAAAGTGCAAACGTTTATAAACATGTAACGATAATAAATATAATGTAAAGTCAAATAAACAAGATAACTCGGGGACTCGTTCAACGCACTGTTTTCCACCTTAGCACCCGCTAGCTCACATAGCTACATTGAACTAAGCTAGCTGAGACTGTCACGTCAACTCTCTTGTCAAGGCTGTCCGTGTTTTTCAGTTTCATGTCACGCAAAAGAAAAAAAAAACTTGTGACCCACACAGCACAGTGACATTACCTTAATTTGTTGAGAAAAGGGACCACCGTGATTATTCCCCCCCCCCTCACCGCTATGACACTGCGACGTCCGGTGTTCGTAAACACAACATTCACGTGTCTCACAAATAATACGTCATCTACCTTCACTAGTTGTGTTTAGAAAATATATTTTAAAAAATATAAAAAACGGGTTATAGTCGTATTTAATCGTGTATACAACACGCTGTGTAATAATGTTTGTGTTGCTTTATTTTCATGTTATTTTGATGTACTTATAGGAGGCGTTTTAGCTGTTAAAGTGTCTTTGACCTCTGATTTTAATAATAATGATGAAAATAATAATAACTTTATTTATAGCACCTTTCCAAAACAAGGTTTACAAAGTGCTTAACATGATAAAACAACAGAAGCATTACGTTTTAATCATAGGACAGAAATCTCCAACATAAAATAACATTAAAACATAAAAGAAACAGTAATAAAACATAATAATAAAAACAATAAGGATCACAGGAAGGCTTGACTATAGAAGTGTGTTTTAAGAAGAGACTTGTCTTTGCCATCCTAATCTCCTCTGGGATGTTCTTCCACAGTCTGGGGGCCCTGGTGGCAAACACTGTCACCTAATCGGAGAGCAGCATTTGCAGGACCTCAAAGCCAGCGATGGTACATGAGGGGGTCAAAATTTCAGAAATATAATTTGGGGCCAGACAGTCTAGGCTTTAAAAGTGAAGTGTACCAGAAATACTGCTGACAGTGAGGTGTTGATTTGATTTGAAATGAGGCTTTAGTCCGTGGTGGTTTTGTAAAAAGACATTGCAGTCTATTGATAATTTACTTTATGGAGTTTGTCCTCTTATTACCTGATGAATTCGATCAACAGTTGTCCCACAGAGTCATTAAATACAGATCTTCTTGTCATACATAAGATAATGGTACTGTTTGTTTTTTCTAGCCAAAATCTCACACTTTTAATGAAAAACACACCAGTATACTTTGATTCTTTATTTCATTGCATTAAGTTATGAGCAAAATTGATCAAATTACATCCAAAAATACAATACAAAAAATTCTGTCAGCAAATGCCCAACTTTGTCTCTTTCTCTCACGCATGCATACCGTACATTCAAACACAGACGCACTTAATTACTCTTGAATGCCACACGCACTCCTATACCACAGCCCTGTAAAAACATTTGTGAGGCAACAATTAATACATCAAATGATCTTAAAGCTGTCCCCAACGTAGCAATGTCAACATCTGCAGATGTATGTTTGAAATGCCACCAATACTCGCCTTGACTTGGAATACACATACACAAACATGATCTCTTTTGCATAGTTATTTGATGATGAGCCCGGATATCAAAGTTTTGCCTTTCAGCATAAATGACCAATCGTCACTGATTTGTATTTTGTAGAGTTTTACCTTATCTTAATTAAACCAAGACTCTGTGCAAGCATACATGAGTGTCAATCACCCCTAAATACAGACGGCTATTAGTAAGAGGAATAATGTGTACTCGTAAAAGGCCATTGTCCCATTTCTGAGAGTGCCACATGACTGTTTTCAAATATTCACATCTGTATTGAATGGTGAAAGGCACGTATGCTTATGTCAGCCCCAGATAAATATTAAAGCCAAAAGGCATACAGAACCAACTTTTGTCTTTTTGTTTTAAGAAGACACACAATTAACCTTGTTGTCTATTTCCTCTCCATGCAGCTCCCTCTGCTTGTAAGGCAATACAGATTTAGTCCATTATCATTTGTTTCTCCATGAAGCCAGCAGTCTGACTCCTCTCAGGTGCATGTTTCCTGATAAGCTCTAATAATGCTCTCATAAGCTGGAGGGGGTGTCTGTGTAGCATTAGAACCCCTCAGACCATTGTTTCCCCAAAATGATTCTGGCCTGGGTGGGCTGGCAGCTTGCTGGGCTGCTGTTTGAGCTGATCCAGTTGACGTGGTCAGAGTCGGCGTGCGGGGAAGCGTGGTTTGGCTCCCTTCCTCTGCTTCTCTGGCGATTTGGCTGCACTGGAGGAGCGGGTGGAAGGTTGAGGCCCTGAAGCTGGATTTGTGCCCCAGTGGGTCGAATTGATCTGGGGAGGATGTCTGCCGATGGAAGCTGAAAGCAGCACTGACCAAGCTGTTGTTGCTGCGCCGGTCATAGCTGCTGTTGCGGTTGAAGCCAGGGCGGTTACGGGAGGACGAGCGGGATTGACGGGTTGGACGACGAGTGATGCTGGCAGAGCCGCTCGTCGTCGGGACATCCAGGTCAAGATAACGTAAACCAGGGCCCCCAAGACCAGGCCAACCGCCATGGACACACAGAAGGCTATGATCAGAGGAACTGTGCAGAGAGAAACACAAACCAAAAAGGAAAGTTCCTGATTAATGCTAGGCTCAGTATTTTTGATGGATCCTTTACAGACATCTTCACTCCATTCAAATGACTCTTTAGGCAAACTGTTTGGGACTAAAGTTTAATAATAGTTATGCACATGCAATACATCTAAATTTCACTGTCCCCAATAACCTTTTGCTTTTTTGCCAACCCCTGGGAATGGAATGAATTCTAATTAGAATATATGCCCCGAGCAAGATTACGAAAACCATCTGTTTATAACAAATGGAGGATTGCCAACAGAATCTTGCAAGATGGTGCCTGTTGACAAAATAATAATAGGCCATCCTCTTTCGTGTTTACCCATGTACGTTTTTTGGGGACAACAAACTGACAGTAATTGTCCCCTCAACAACAAAAAAAATCCAGTGACTTTTTGTCCATTGCTTCTTAGCCTTGGAAGAACTAGTGCAAACATAAGCGTGCTTGAGAGAAGAGAGAGAATGCAGCAGCTAAGACAAATCCTGTTGGACTGCTGCCAGTGAAAACAAATCAATTTCCTTTCAATACAGCTAAGAATTAAAAAGACAACTTTGCTACTCTCCCATTATTTCCCATTACTTCCACTGCTGTTTTCTTCTCTAACTTTTGGAAAAAGGAAAGGAGACACTGTAAAAAGCCATCTGGAAATGACATTTAGGAAAACTAGAGCAGGAAAAAACACCAAGAAAACATGTCACTACCTTATAGATGTGGATGGAGGAATCTTAAAATATAACTCAAAATAACTTTAAATATTCTTAATTTGAGGGTAAACAAATCTTCAAAAAGAAACCAGGAGCACATATTGAGTCGGTACCAGTGAGGATTAGAGCTTAAATTCCTGGGAGAACAACAGTGCCAATCAGAAAAACCACATGAAAAAGACCAGCTGGAAGAAAAGGGAAATTACAAAAAAAAACTCACCAGCATCAAAAGATTGAAGTATTTCCAGGAAGAGATTTGTGTTGTTCTCAGCCATGTCTCTTCTTATATAGGAAAAGAAGAAAGACTGACACTTTTATCAGTCTTTAACTCTCCTCTTCTCCCTTTTACTCCTCTGTCAATTCTTGCCCGTCTCTCTTTTCTTCTGATGGATTTTCCTGTCTTTCTGTCTCCCCTCTTTCCTGTTCCCTCACTTTCTCCCTCTCTCTGTCGTCCCTTGCTCACTTTCTCTGTCAGCACGTCTGTCTCCCTTTTAGAGAGAGACTCAGCCCAGAGGCACACAGGACTGGTGGCTAACTCTGGCAGTCTTCTTGTTTATGGAAGCGGAAAACTACACTGTCACATTTCCTGCTTTTCTGCTTGAAATTAGCAACAGGAGGGGCTTATCTATCCAGGACAGAGATCCTGGAGGTGGGGAGACGGGGTGTTGCTATAATCACTTCCTCTCCCATCATTTCCTTCACGTTGATTAATGTGAAGCAGTGTCACTGCAGTGCAGAAAGACTTAGTACTTCAGCTTCTAACATATGAAAGTCCACCAATATTTTTCTTCCTTTCAGAAATGATAAATACTTCAATCCCTCTCAAAAGGTTTCCTTCCACCACAGAGACCAGTGAGTGACTGTGCCGTCTTAATCTGAACCAGCAGATACAGCCCGGGGGCCTGAGTTGGTTGTTGAAGGTAAACACCACAGCTGGAATTGATGGTGGAAGTAATGTAAGTGCATTTAATACTTCTGAAATTGTGCAAAAGAAATCTACTTGTCGGGTGGATTTTCAAACTGTGATCTGCCTTTTTCTGATTTCCCGCACGTTTATGGTAAGCTCAGTCTTTCCACAGTGTCTGCCAGTTCCTGCATTGTAGGTCTGCTCCTTTTTCAGATGGATATAACTACTAAAAAAGCATTAAGATTAAGCAGCATAGCAATCTTTTCAACACACCAACATGATTTAGCTGAAGTTTCCACACCTCAGAGATCAGGATGTAGCACATTTGATTATACCTCTCCATGTTACTCATTCCTGATCCCACTGCCAGCATTGTTTTAATCCCCGCCAAGCCAAATCTGCAAGATCATCAATACATTCAGGGGGAAGGAAGTGAGTAGTCATATTGGTATGCACTATGCATCTAGTGTAAACCCGCCCATGTACCCCATCAGCTGTGGATATTTGCTTTACACAGTTGATTCTAAACCACCCTTCACCTTTAATTCAACCTCATCATTAATCAAAATAATATGTTAGTTCTATCTTCTGAGATTATAATTCAGATATTTTCTTGAGTTTTTTTACTAAAAGTTGACAACCTTCAACCTTCTCGCTGGCAAAAATAGAGCAAGAGAGAAAACAGCTCCACCAAAGCGTGAACTTCCTTTAATTGTCGGCCCTGCTGTAAAACCTGTCTAAAATAACCAGCAATCAACCGTAACATTCAAACAGTATGTGTGGCCATTGTGTTGTGTGATAGAGTCGTAAGAGCTTAATGGGCCATCCTGCTCATAGCTGGAGAAGAAATTCTTTAAGCCTCATAGTTGTGGGAAAGTGTGCTGTCCTGTAATATCTTAATAAGGGAATAATAACGTTCTGTGGGGACTATACCATGGGTGAAGAAATGAGGATGCATTGTATTCATGCTTTGTTTTAAAAATCAAACACAACATAGAGGAGTTTTTTATCCTACATCTTACCAATCTCTCAAACAATGGCTTTGATCAATATTTAATATCAAGTCAGCACTTGTGTATAAACTAGGATGTTAAAGAAGAGAAAAAGGGTGAGTGATATTGAAGGATCTTTTCAGTTTTGATAACACACATATACAAATATTCTAAATGTTCTTGTTAGTATGCCTTTGACAAAGAGAGGTTCAATTGTTTAGGGAAAAATCAAAACCACTAGGACGGCCTCCATTGACCACATGCTACTTCTGTTCCCTTACCGACCAGTAGATGGAGTAATACTCCAGGAAAACTTGTTAACATGGCTCATCTCCTAAGGCCTCAGAGAGCTAATCCACTTCCAACCTGTCCTTTAAATGTGCAGACTAGCCTGCTTTACCGAGTCCAAACAACAAACAAATATCCAGGTAAGCTCATGCTATTTTTTTTCATACTATATTTTTGTAAACAAACAGAAGCAATACAAGACTCAACAAACAGTTGGTCATCTGTACATTCTATATTCTGATGGAAATATATATCACTTTATATGATTAGTGGCTCAGTTATCACATTTCAAGGTTAAAAACACAATCCATATCTCCCTGTATTGTCAAAATGTCCCTGCCCTTAGATTTAGTGAGAATGTCATTCTCTCCATACTTTGAATATCAGTCACGATATCTATCCAGTCACTCTGTTTTGGCCGTATGGACTGTAACCACTTTCATGTTACTGCTTTTTTTTTGCTGACTGCTATTACTTTATTAGATATTTATCCTGCACTGAAAAGTGGGCGGCTACACGGGGTGCAGTTGTCAGCGTAGTTGCCTCACAGCGAGGAGGTTCCTGATTCAAATCCCCATCTGACAGGGCCCCTCTGCGTAGAGTATGCATGTTCTCCCCCCGTGTACGCGTGGGCTCCCTGCAGGTACTCTGGCTTCCTCCCACAATCCAAAGACATGCTGGTTAGGTTGATTTGTGACCCTAAAATTTTCCATAAGTGTGAATGTGAGTGTGGCTGGTTGTCTGTCTGTGATGACTGATCCCGCCTCTCGCCCAATGATAGCTGCGATTGGCTCCAGACCCCAGCGACTCAAAGCGGGAAAAGCGGTAAAGATAATGGATGGATGGATGAAAAGTGGGCTGCAATAAATTGTTGAGGAAGAACAGACACTGACAACAGCAAAAATGATTGGTATCGCTCGGATACCTCATGCCAGTATGGCCAGATTTCTGGGTAGTTCCAGAGTATGTGAAAATGGTTTGCCAGCTGTTCTGTACGTTTCCTCAAACAAAGACCCCTTAAAACCTCATCTGTCTGTATAGATTATAGGTTAGCATCAGGTAATGCAAACAGATTCCAAACAAAGACCAAACAAAGTGGAGATGGACTGTACAGAGCACATATTTTCCCAGTCGTCCTCTGAAATGACAAGTCCATATACACACTGGCACATACATTAGTATATATCCTCTACATCATCCTCCAAATATTAAGCAGAAAAGGCATCGAGCTGTTGTGACATCACTCTCACGGGCAGCTGACTGCAGAATTGACTTCCATGCGATAAGGCATTGATTTGTCACGTAATTGTTGAAAAATACTTATCAGTAAAACTAGTATCCCCTTTATCGTTGAAGCATTAAAAAGGTTTTCTAGTGAAAACAGATTTTCAGATGTATTATTACCTTCTTCTTCATAGTGCTACATACATCAACTTATCTTAACATCATTTGTAACTATAAAGATTTTACTGATATAAAGGGCAAAAAAAGTGGCAGTATGGTTTATTTGGACTTAAAGTTTTGCAATACATTAAACAGAATTTCTAAACAATATTTCCTTCTGCAGCATTTGGTTAACATTGGCGTAGTGGTTGTCAACAAACTTTCTCATAGAGATCTGAAAAACTGCTGACTGAGCATGAAAGAGATTACCACACCACGCCGTCTTGGTCCCGTCAGCCCCTCTGCCTGTGCAATGATTAGATAAGAAAAAAAAAAAAAAAAAGATCTTAGCGTGGCAGAGGTTTGGTTACTACAGAAAGATTTCCTATTGACCCCTCTGCTTTGTCTCTGCTCTCTGCTCCCCTCTGCTGCAGCAATGATTGCTCTCTCGTCTGCTGAATGCGTTTGGTCCTGCGAGGCTCCCGACGGTAGAGGTCACCCCGAGCTGAGCTGCATTTAAAAAAAAAAAAGTAGGAATCAGCAGTCCGTTACTGCTGCAGAGGAGGCGGCCAATCCAGCTAAATCCCACAATGTACCGCACAGGGTAAAATCAAACTGCTGATTCTGAAGGTAACTACAGAACGATAGAGTTCATGTATACATGTATAATTCAGATTAGCTGCTACTGAGTGGATTGAGGTTAAACCACCAAGATAATTGATTTACCTCTGGCTTTACAATGACCGTCACTATTGGGTAGGCATGCAATTTAATATTGTCCAGTAGACAGCATATTTTTGCAGCAACCTCATTCTTATTAATAAAATGGGTAATCTTGAGTATAGAATGTATTTAGTGGAAGTATTTGACAATGAAACCATGTAAACTCAGTTGCCTGCTTTTGCAAGAAAAATGATTTATTTTCATGTGTAACATTTCCTAAATCTAAACGACCCCCCCTCCCCACACATCACTTTGTGATGATAAAAGTGTTTTTCCCCAGTAAACATTCTGTTTACTCAGTAACTAGAGACAAACACTGCACAGCAGGGCTTCAAAGGGAGCGTAGACAGTGCACAAATGTAGAGATCTGATCTCCAAAACAGATTTGGGAAAGACTGTTCTGTTGTGCTTCTGTTTCACACCCCTAAAATCACCTTCACTCAATGATAAAAGCGTATTAGTATAAAACTATTCCATAAAATAATCTCAGAGCCAAAATGCACAACACCGTTAACACAACAGGTTGAACTAAAAATGCTTCACATCCATCTGAGCTCTTCTTCAATGTCGTTTGTTTACCTAAATAGAGCTTAGATTTGATAATCAATGAACATTCATTGGCGTTTATATTTTTGGTGTCCACTCTCTCACTTTGTTGAATGAGGCTGTGGCCAGAACAGTGTAGCTCCCCTTTCAACTCTTTTAAGAGCTCTCCTGAGATGATGATGAAAGGACTTGTCTAATGGGATTACACATCGCGATAAGTGCTCAGTGCCTCATGCCTCATCACATCTCCCCTCCTGCTTTTCAAAGAGGGCCATTGATCTGCTTTGCAGGAGCATATGTTGGATGTAGAGTTTTGGAGAGGTGTTTTATTGGCAGAGATTTATTTCAATCCATTGCTTACTTCTATAAATGGTTGTCTGCGCAGCTGCAGGACTGACATGTGTCTTTAAGCTCCTTTTTTAAAATGAAGAACTCAAATACCCCTTTAATCCAGGCAGACTGAAACAGAGTGACATCATGTTTGCAGTTATTGGAGCAGACTGAAATGATGATGTCATGGAATTTATCTTGACTAATATAAATCTATAAATTTTGTGTATTTATGTTTAAATCATTTTATTGTCTTCTCTTTGAGAACATAATTTGGATATATTGGAGTGGTGACCCCAAGTTCATCATATTGTTGTATCTTAATGTAACTACACAGGCTAATTTCTTCTAATTCCAAAGCATAAAGCCCATCTTCTTTCATAGCATTCATAACTGAATTGTATTT